ATGGACTCCATAGATGGATCTTTCTGTCTCATCCACTCCTACATCTCTCATACCTAGAACAAGGACTGCTGAAAAAAAAAATTTAAGGTTTTTAATTTTTATTTTTTATTGAAATGTAGTTGATTTACAGAGTTTCAGGTACACAGTAAAGTGATTATAAATGATACCGGCTAATGAGAGGGTGAAAATGTTAATAGTGTGGTCTAACTATTATTGGATTATGGGTTGCAAAAGAAGAGATCAGACACACACACATACACACAAACACCCCTTTTTGGAACATTTCCCTCAACCATGCCCACCTTTTAAGAATATATAAATAATTGAACATTCAGGGAGAGTGATGCTGATTTTCACTCTTGCCTTAGGGTTTTGTATCTTTCTTGTGGAAGCCTTGAGTCTAGAGAGACAAAAAATGAGAAAATATTGGATTGGGGAGATCTGAGCCTTGAATTTCGTCTAAGAAGTCAAACCCTTCGGTGTAAATCCTGTCTGCCTGTGTGCCTCAGGTCAATGTGCCTGGCTGGGTGCGTGTGCGCCCCTTCGCTCATGGCCCCGGTGACCCCATGGAGCTCATTTGCCTATATTTTGGGTTGTCTTGTTTGCAGATTTTGGTGTCTAGGTTACTGCTCCGGTAAGCAGGATGGGAGAATTACATACACTTAGTATTATTGCTGAGAGAGGAAATATTGACTGAGAAATGAAACAATAAGACTGCTCTCTTCCCCCCCACACCCCCAAGCTTAGTACAATGAAATCAGAAGTAAAATATTTGAAACTGGTTAATGATGCTGAGGGTCCTGCAAAAACTGGCACTTGATTTTACAGCTGGGTTCCTAGAGTAGCATTGTTGATTTGGGGTGGGTAGTTCTTTGTTGTGGGGGCTGTCTAGTGCATTGTGGGGTGCTCAGCAACATCCCTGATCTCTGCCCAGGTATGACAACCGAAAATGTTTCCAGACTTCGCTGGACCTGGTTGAGAACTATTACTCTAGAGAATACATAGAAGAACCCTGACTTAAGCCATGCCACTGGGTTTGTTCAAATCCATATTGCCACCATTAATGTGACTGCACAGTGATCTTATCTCATCAGAAGAGGAGGGTGCTTAACTCCAGCCTCTGTTCATGTCTTCTCAGTGATCCCAAAGTAGTTTAAACCAGTGTTTCCCCACCTACGCACCTCCCATCAAAACGCAGCACACTAGTCTCTTGTGACCTTGGTTTTCTCCACACCCGCGTGTGAGCTGGTCCTTGATGTGTGCCTTCCGGTCAGCAGGGGCTTTTCTGGGTCTTCATGTGATAAATGAACATGTCCCAGTTCTCTAGTCTCTTGAAGACAACTCTCTGAGGTCTTCATTCTGACATGTGAGTTCCAACAATTAATGTTGTAGAAATCTATAATTATGAGAAAGAAGAGGCCGAGTCTCTTTGGTTGGTGGTTGTAGCTATATAGGGAGGGACATTTATTCAGCCTTCAGGAGATAGGTATTGGAAACCTGTGTGAGCTGTTCTTGGCGCTGGAGATACGCACAACCTACTTACCTTCTTGGCGCCTCCCTGCATAGGGGAAGACAGTCAGTCACTCAAAAAGTACCAATAACATCAAATGATGATAAGTGCAGAGGAAAAAAAGACATCAGGTTGATGAGGAAGCACAAGGTGCGGGGAAGGCTTCTTGTTTCAAATAGGCAGGATATCTGGACATCTCAGAGGAAAGAGATCAGGCAGTGGAAATAGTGCAAAGGTTCTGGGGTAGGGGTGTTCCTGGTGCATGTGAAGAGCAGCCAGGAATGAGCATGGGAGTGGTAGGAGAGGAGGCCAGGGAGATGGGACTGTACATGTTACATGGATCTTTGCAGTCCTCGTACAAACTCTTCTTCAATTTTTGTTGCAGAAAATTTCAGGCGTGTGCTAAACAGAACAGTATAATGAACCCCCTATCTACCTATCACCCAGGCCTATCAAATATTTATTCAGGGTCACTTTTCTTTTTTTCTTTTCTTCTTTTTTTTAAAACACTTTTTTCTTTATTTATTTGGCTGTGTCAGTTCTTGGTTGTAGCATGCGGGGTTAGTTGCCCCATAGCATGTAGGATCTTAGTTTCCTGACCAGGAATTGAACCCACATCCTCTGTGTTGGAAGGCAGGTCCTCAACCATTAGACCACCAGGGAAGTTCCTACTTTTCTCTCATATATTTTACTCTCTCTCTAGGTTAACCTGAAGCAAAGCCTAGACATTTTATCTGTGAATATTTGGGGGTATATCTCTAGAAGGTGAGAAATGAAAAATGATTGATTCCAATATTATATTTAAAGACAAATTACTAGTATTAACAAATACCCACTATGTGTGTACATATTTGTGGGAGGGGAGTCTATTACAGTAATTATTTTCTAAATGTTTGATTATATGTTTGATATTAGGACCCCAAAGTGTTTATATGTTGCAATTAGTCAGTATGTCTCAAGTCTTTTTTAAGGTTGAGATTCTTTTTCCATCTTTTTTTTTTGTCTTTCTACTATTGCTTTGAAAATGTTTAAGGGATCAGATCATTTGTTCTGGCTTTCACAGTGTAGCTTATGCTGATCATATTTCTGTGGTATTATTATGTTCCTTTGTCACGATGTTTCCTGTAACATGGCATTTTGATGTAGAGGCTCGGTTGTGTCCAGGAGTGATGTGGCTTTGTGTGATGAGAAGACTTCAGATGTGTTATATCAAGCAGCGCGTAGTACCCAGCTATCTCTTAGTGATGTCAGCAGTTATCATTGATTATGACCTAGATCTGTTGATTTGTTGGGGTTTGAGAAATGGCAGTAATCTCATGTTGCCATTCATTCCGTATTTACCACTTGGAACATGTCTATGTAGAGAATCGTTTTGCATCTGTGAGGTTCTGTTCTTAAGGAAAGCAGGATAAGTGCTTGATTTTTCCCCTTTACCAGTTTTTAAAAGCGATGGGATAATGTTCTAACATCTTCCAAAGATGACCCTGGCTGGCTGGCCTCCTTCCTTTTTTCCTTCCTCTCTTGTCTCCTTGAACTCATAGTTTCAAACTTTGGATACATTTTAACATATTGCTATTGTCACTCCTCCTGATGCTCAGCTGTCCCATTCTTTGGCCAAGTTTGCCAGGTTTGGGGCTTTTACTTGGAATAAGAAGGAAACTAGTGAAGAATTTTGAGCAGAGGAATGATGCATTCTGAAAATGAGCATCTTAGAGTCTGTGTGGCCAGTGAAGTGTAGGAGGGTGGCAGGGAGAAAGTAGAGAATTCAGTTAGAAGGAAATGACAGTGACCTAGTCAGGACACAGTATATCTCCCCCCCCCCCCATTTATTTTTATTAGTTGAAGGCTAATTACTTTACAATATTGTAGTGGGTTTTGCCATACATTGACATGAATCAGCCATGGATTTACATGTGTTCCCCATCCTGAACCCCCCTCCCACCTCCCTCCCCATCCCATCCCTATGGGTCTTCCCAGTGCACCAGCCCTGAGCACTTGTCTCGTGCATCCAACCTAGACACAGCATATCTGGAATCAAGGTGTTTTGAGTGGGAAAATGGTGAGATTCTGGATATTTTACATTGCAAAAAAGCATCCTGAGGATAGAATGGGGAGCAAAGTTGATCCTTCCTCTTTTGTATTCCATTGTATTTTCATTATTTCTTGTTGTTTTATGCTTTTATGCTACTTATGGTTATTAGTTTACACTTTGATGTGCCTCCTTGCAGCACAACCAGTGAGTATTCTGTGTGTGGATATGTTGCCTCTAACAGGGCGGAGGGTTGGTTAGTTCTGCGAGCTCACAAAGGAGAAGTAACATTAGCAAATGCCCCCAGAGCAAGTTGGCAGATTAGGATGTAGAGAAAGGTTCGGGGAAGATCATGTGGACTTTTCTCTAGTCCACGTGCACCTTAGTAGGCTTGTAAACAGATGATCCTCTAGATGGTGCATAGCCGAGTGTACCATTGTAAAAGTGAGGGGAAAAGAGGTGGGAAGCAGCCCAGAGCCTGAGCGTGGCAAGAGAGAAGCAGGCTGGATTTCAGCTTTGACTTCCCTTCCTGCCCAGCACCCTTGTGCAGGGCACAACCTGAGCAGCTGCACACGACACCCCTACCCTGAAGGCCCCTGGGGCAGGGATCAACACACCGGAATCTCATCCCAGTTCCACCACCAGCTGTGAGCCCTCAGCTTCCTCATCTGTTAAACGGCGGAGCTTGACTTCATGGCCTTTAAAATGTAACCACCTGAGCACAGTTGTTTTTACCACAGTGGTGAAACAGCCATGACTTGCTAAAGTAAAATACCCAGACTTGCTAAAGTAAAATCCTGATTTGTCCTAGTATTTCTTCTCAACAAACCAATGGTTGCCAGTTTGTAAAACATCTTAAAATTTGCATTAGAGAACGTGAGTGAGATGTTCTTCATGCGCAGCAATGGAGGTACACTTAGTCCCAAGTTATGAATGCTGTGAAAAATTCTGCTCCTTGAATAAATACAGGATGAAACGTCCAGGTTTCCAGAATATCTGTTCTCTGTTTCTTTCCTTATTCGTATTTGATTGCTCTTGTTAACGTACTTAGCACTGCACTGTTCTTAAAAATCAGCTTTCCAAAATGAAAATCCAGGCTCCCATCTCTTGTGTCTCCAGTTGGTATTTTCCCAGTTGTAGGGTTTGCCTGTTCGCACAAGTCTTTGCCTCACAGCAGAGTTCAACTTCCCCCAAATTAAGGCAGTTAGTTTATTCCTCTTTCTGATGATTGCCATATATAGAAAAAAATCTAATTATTTTCATTGGGCAACCGTTCCCCGTGTCTTTCTTGTGGAACATGACTGATTTTGTTAACTCCACCAGGGGAAGAATAAGCAGAACTTCCTGCGGGTGGCCAAATTCTATTCAAGAGCATCCCCAGGAGGCAGGGAATAGTTGAGGTTTGCTGAAATAAACTCTTTTATAAGTATGATGCTGTTGCTTTGTTATTATTTTTTCCAGTCTGCATGGTGAAGAGGACTTTTCATTTCACTGAGGTGAAAACTGGGTCTGTGAGAGGAGCGACTTTCTTTGAAAAAAAAAAAAAATCAGAAACCAATTACTTGATATGCAGAGCCAAAAGCCTCATTCCCTTAATGAAATCAGTGCAGTGTGCACTGTCGTTAACCTGAGGAAAGCGGCTGACATCTCTTGATTACCGCTGGAGGTGGAAGGACCGAAACTTGCAGGATCCCCCTCCCCCTCGAGAGAAGGTTAGTCCAGCCCTTTCTAGAGGTTCATTTCGGCTCTCTGTCATCGCCGGGACGCTGGCAGGGAATGCGTGTCATGGTTACAATAGAGTGTGGTAACATATAACAACCATGAAAGCCCAGCGGGAAAGGCTACAGATTCCGGGGCTGACCTTGGAGTAAGTATTGTCTCTCTTTAATATTTTAATGCTTTCTGCATGGCACTCGCTTTCCTGCGACCAATAGCTCTTTAGCATTTGTTTGTACTGACAGCCTCAGAGCACTGCAGTGTGAGCTGGAAGGACCCTGTCTTAAATGTATGGCATTTGATTTCAGCCTATGTGGAAGCCCCGACCCAGCATTTTGCATTGCAGTCAGAGGAAAAGCGCTGCTGCATATTTAAAGTTACTAAACATCAGTGCTGGAAACATCTTAACAGCTCATTGTGAAAGAATGTATCAGCAGGCCGTGGTGTGTCTTTTTTTTTTTTTTTTTTTCTTCTCTCTTACTGTTTGTTTATCCCCATGCGCCTTGTTCTAAAGAAGGGCCTCTGTTTGGCTTGGATACCAGAAGACAGTACAATGGATAAGAGTGCAGGAGAAGGGTTATTTGTCACACTCATTAGATGTGATCCCTGCTTTATCTGTGCAGCAGAATATTAATGAACTGTAGTACATTTTGCGTCCTTCTGCAGAGTCTCCGGCCACCTCACGTGGTGTGTTTACCTAGTTGGGCTCTGTGTTTGCTTACCTTTTTTTTTTTTTTAACCCATTAACACATCTGACTTGCCTTCTGATTTGATGCAGCCATGTGAAATGCCCACATCTAATTTGTGGCGCAGAAGTTAAACATCTGTGATGCAGGAAGTGTCAGCAAATTTTTATTTTAAATCTGTTTGTCAAAGATGCAGAAGCTGTGAGTTCGTCTGTGCTGGCACTTAAAATAATAAACAGCACAATAGATTTCTGGTAGAAAAATGTAAATATGTTGTCTGACTTGCCATACAGATATAGAAGTGCATTTTCATTGAAATCTGCACAACCTTGATCATCTCATTCATGCTGGACTCCTTCCAGGATGAGACTGCAGGGGAGACCTGTGCCTAGTTCTGAGGAGTCACTCCCCCCCTTGAATCCTGTAGGTGCGTCACACAAGGGGAACTGTTCCCTCAGTTGATAAATGAATGAAAACAAGACATTTCTGAAGCGATTGGAGTACTTTCTCCATCAGTTCTTGCTCGAAAATTACAGACTGATTTTTTAACTAACAAGTGCTCACTTAGAAAACTTAGAGGGTTCCTACAACCTTCTTGCTAGATATGGCTTTTTATACAACAGAGATACAAAGAGTATTTGCCCAATGCTACTGATTTGTCCCCATCTCCACCCTGGCATTCAGCGCCCCTCATCTGTGTGGAATATTTTAGTGGCATCCACAGGTTTTTCTCCTTAATCCTCCTCTCTCTAGCATTCTGGAACTGCACGGCTCAGATGCCTGTGGCTGTGTGCTCCAGGCCCAGAAACTTAGTTTTAACCTCCAACTTCACTGCCACCTTTCCTTCTGGTTGTGCTGCTTCCTCGTCGTCTCTTTCGGCTTTGGCACGTGTCGTTTCACATTACAGTTTTTCTTTCTTCTGTTTTTGATATCTCATCCACATTAACAGGAGATGCTTCAAAGTTACTTTCTAAAGTACAAACTAGTTGTATCTACTGTTCCATCTATAATTTGAAAGGCTGAGCTGTGCCACCACCATTTTTAGGACATTGCCAGTGCTGATGGTGACCTACAGATCAGCTCAGCACAGGGGTTCCCTGCATTTTGTTCTGGTCCCAGGGCCATAACCCCTCAGTCTAGCCTCTACCCTGGTACATGGCACTGTGGATCTGAAATAGCTTATTTTTTTTACCTGAGGAGCTTGAGGCAGTAGAATAGAGGATCACTCTTCAATATCATTGACAATAACAGTAGAAATTCACTTTGAACATTTTGTTTACCTTGAAATATAAAACTACTCTTAGGTAGACAGAGCTGATTTCATATTCATTCATGGAGAAAGCTAGTTCTTCAGTCTTTGAGTAAATTCAGTTTCTTGCCACTGCAGAGAATGGTTATAATGAGAAGTCTTATCATTGATTTTATTAAGGGCACATTTAATGTATATAATTTTATTTATTCGGGGACCTTATAAGACAAACTGTGCAGAGCAGCTTTTGAATGTTCTCTCATGAGACATTTCTGTTTTTCTTCAGGAAAGTTTATTCCATAGACACTGTAGCATGCACTCTTACACTCGCATATTTTACACACTGTAGAGGCAATTCAAAAATTTCCCATCTGATTTATCAATAACATGAGGCGTTTCTGATTCCTGTTTCAGAAATTGAAATCCTGGATGTGAGACAGCAAATATAGTAATATTTCAGAAATTAATGGTTATTAACTTATTCAGAAATTTTTCATATATAGAGAGCCTATGCATGGCTTTCTGATTTCTGAGAAATTGAGTAGTTTTTTTCATTCCTCTTTTTTTTTTTTTCAATTTTACTGTAGAATTAGGTTCATAGACACTTTATAGCACATATGATAACATGTCTCTGCTTGGAGGCACTGAGTGGCTTCACTGTCTTTTCATGCCTATTTTAGGACCAGAAGGAAAAGATAAGACTGTACTTAGACTAGATGACGGCTCTATCAGTGGGCACTCATGAGGGCTTTCCAATGAGCTGCTAAGTTAGAGTACAGTATGTTGAAGCAGCAGATTCTGAATGTCCTCTGAATGTATAAGGAAATCGATTCCTTAGTTTACGGAGTACTGACACCAAGCCCAAGGGTGGTTTTAGAAGATATATAAAATTATTCCTTTGAAACATTTCATTAAACAAATTGGAGCATTGCGAGCAATGACTCACATTTTGGTTTAAATCAAATACAGCCAAGTCTCAATTATCCACATAATGGGGAGCAAGGATGGTGTTAAGAATTTGGTACACCTGAATCTGATGCTAGCCACGGCTGCCCCTTCTCTGTTCAGTGAAGAGTACAGCCAGCTTGACTTAGCCAGTATGCAGCTCAGCTCCAAGAACTCTTTGCCTAAGGTAAGAACATGTACAGTGTAGAGTCATGGACCAAAGAACGGGCAGAAGAATGTTCTTGAAGAAACTTGTAATGTAGCAGAAGTTTTCAGGGCTCACTTCAGCTTTAGAGTTGGTACTAGAATATTTAGCTAATTCTTATTTTGATTTTGCCATGTGAAAGCAATTGGAAATCGACTGGTATTTACTTCATATCTTGATAGATCTCTTGGCAGAATTGTTGCAAGTAAACGAAATGACTAATTTGTTCCTTTTCCTCTCTAAAAGAGAAGAGCCATGAGGCTAAAGGGAAAAAAAAAAAAAGGAAAAGGGGACTCTGAGCTTGGGACCCCATGCTAAATATTTGAGAATTGGCTGCTGAATGTGCCTGGGGGCTTGGATGGGTTGACGGGAGTAGGAGTTACAGTGGTCCATTGATAGATGAATTTGAAGGAAAAAAAAAAAACCTCTTGGAGAATAAAATACTTTATAACCATATATGAGAAAATTTGAAGTTCCTTATTACGAACATAAGCATAAGAACACTTTTTACCATGAGACTTAGACAACAAATTGCTGAGTATTTTTCACTAAAAAGTGCTTAAAAATATAACTTCCTATATGGAAATATTTTTTACTTTGTTTTTTTAAAAATGACAATATTTAACCTGAATTTTCGTTTCTATTCTGATGACTACTTCCAGATGGTTTTGATACAGATTTATCATTAATTCTGACTTGGAAGTAGAATACACACAATATAAAAAAATCACCGACTTTTTTTTGCAAAAAAATCACATGTCGAACGTATCTGCCAAGTTGCTCTGTGACAAAAGGCACAAATAAAAATGGCAGCAGTAGTTTTGAGAATGTAAATTGCAGCAGGCAGCATTGTGCTTGTTCTCTGATTTAGAGCTAAGGGGCACGTGATTAGATGATTACCTAGTGGTACTGATAGGCATGCCGTGATGATTCTGGCCTAAAGGGAACAAAGTCCCTTCACTGAGCTATGCTATTTTTTCTGCCACCATTTCTCCCACTTGGAATGACATTATTTTAACTTTCAGTCTCACTCCAAGGAGCCTGAGTCCAACCCCATCCAGCCCAGGCAGTCCCTGTAGTCCTCTCTTCGCTTTTCACTTCTGGAGGTAAGCGCGCTCCGCTGCCTGCCCGGGGCTGCCTTGTCTTGCCTTCCCATCCCCCATATCCCACCATGAGTATCTGAACACTGTGGGCCACAATATGCAATAATTTTATTGCATAAAAATAAAGTTTTGGTTTTTTTTTTTTCCCCTTAACTATTGTCTTCATGTTAACATATGAAATGAGGAAACTGGTTGAGTTGTTTACCTGATGACTTTACAGGAGCACTGAGAAAATGTACTTTGCTTATTCCACTGAGCATATCATACTCATGTTTCCCTTAGTGTCCAGCGATTAGTAGTTTGTTTGACTCCTGTGGGTATGTTACATGTGGCTTTCCTTAGAAAAATGGTCTGCACTGAAAGTCATGAATTTTGATTCATCTTTTATAATAATGCTACTTATTACAGTTTCTAGGAAATACTTTCTAATTCACATTAGAAATTATTTTATGTATGCTATAAATTATGTCATGTTACTTCCAGGACAAAGTACTTGACTTGTCTAAAACCATTAGTATTTTTGAATTTTTAGAATCCCCACTTATATACCCCACCCTCTCACTCATAGGCTGATATAAATTCATTCTTCTC